ATATAGATCCCTATTAAATATTATGGTAACTTAAACTGTGATATGCTACGTAAAATGGTTTCCGTATGGCAAATTAAACCCTGCAGCGTGTGAATATCTACATACATACGTACATACATACAAAAATACATACATACATATGTTCATCTACTATAGTTCTCCAGTATGGTAACTTAAATGAAGTTCCCTAACCCAGACTGGAATGATCTACATAGTAGATCCCCTAATTTGGGACCCTATCCTAGTAGAGGGTATTGTATAGGAAACTCCTGAAGGGATCTACTTTTTAGATCCTGCCAGGACTCTGGGAACAAGACCCTGCAAAAACCCTAAACCCACATACATCATTTGCTATAGATCCGTATGCAATTAACACTATGTAGGTTCCTGAGATGCCCCGTTATAATAAGGGCATCCTTGTTCCTACTATTCGGTTTTGATAAGGGGACCGAAAATAGAAAAGTGCTCAAATGGTACTACTCAGGAACCTAGTAGACCCTAAACCCCTATAGATCCCTTATAGAACCCCTAGAGATCCCGTTTAGAACCCTTAAAGGATCGCTGAACATCTATGGATCCCTTATAGGAACCCTCAAATGAACCTTTATAGGATCCTTTTAAAGAAACCCTATACAACCCCTATAGATCCCTTTAAACCCCAATACACCTCAATTAAGTAAGGAATATACCTGAAATCTTAATATTAAGGCCTCTATAATTTAAGGCATATTCCTTAATTAAGGGGCATCGGGTTGTCTGGGTTTAAAGAGATGTTTAAGAGTTTATATGCGTTCTTTAACGGGATCCCGCTAAAGGAATCCCAAGGACCGAGGCGCGGGGTGGTCAGGGCCACAGCGAGGAGGACGAAGGGAAGCGCCAGAGGCCTGGGGTTTAGGGTTTAGGCTTTAGGGTTTAGGGTTTAGGTTTTAGGGTTTAGGGTTTAGGGTTTAGGGTTTGCTGCAAAATTGCGTAGCGGTAGTGTAACAGGGATTGTAGGATTTATTAGCGGTTTTGTTGCCTGCGAATCGCAGCCATGGCCCGACTGTGGCGGGCCATCACATAACTCACCCACCCCACGCCGTCTGAGGCGGCAAACCACCCAAACCTATACCTTTTAGGGTTTAGGACCTAAACTCTGTTAGGTCCATGTTGGTCAACAACAACCACACAATTCTTGCGGAAAGCAGTTTTTGCCCAAGTCCCCCCTAGGACCAGCCAGGAGGCCCCTAGGTCCTGGAACTCTGCTTGCTGGAGCTTCCAAGCCCCGGGAGGGGGCTGTGGGACGGCGGGCAAGCGTCCTGGATCGACCTGCGCCATCGATGTCGAGGGGCTTAAGCGTCGCCCACCATCGAAGGTGGGCGGCCTAGGCCTTGAGTTTAGGGTTTGGGGTTTAGGGTTTAGGGGATCTGGGCCGGGCTTTTTAGGGTTCTAAATACTTTTCAAATTTTAGGGCTTGGGGTTTAAGCTTTAGGGTCTGGGCTTTCGGGTTTAGGGCTTAGGGTTATAATACAGAGCCTTGATAGTTAGAATAGGGTATCGGGGCTCGTTAAACTATATACATAGCAAGGAAACCCACGGTAATCTTGGTTATGAAGAGGGGTCTAGTGCTTTTTAGGGTTTTAGGCTTAGGGTTTAGAGCTTGGGGTTTAGGGTTTAGAGCTTAGGGCTTAGGGTTTAGCCTTGCTGTAGATCTGGGCCGGGCTTTTTAAGGTTCTCATACAGGGGCCTTCATAACAAGGGAAGACAGGGTTTTGGGCATAAGGAAACCCCGCAGTTGTCTTAGTGATTATTTTGGCCCCTATATTAGTGCTTTTCAGGGTTTAGGCTTTAAGGCTTCGGGTTTAGGGTTTAGGCTTGTTTTAGGAGCTGTTTCGTGTTTCGCCGCCAGGAACCGTAAACCCGAAACCCTAGATCCTGAGGCAGACCTCCGGATCAATGCCACTCTAATCTTCCAGCCACTACAGTGAGGATCCCAGCGAGAATCCGCATATGCATTAGGAGTTTATGGGTTTTGAGTTTAGAGCCGCTGCTACCAGGCCCTACCCATGGCAAAATTGAGGAGTCATAATTACCTGACTATAGCAACCTGTGAAGCACACTTTAAGGAAACCCTTCTATAGGGGCCATAATGATTAGAATAGGGTTGTGGGGCCCAATATACTGTACCTGTATTACGGAGCCCCCAAATTTGTGTAGGTAACTATAAAGGCCCCTATAGTAAAGGAACGCAGCAAAAAGCCCCACAGTAAGCGGCCCAAGACGCTTTCGCTTTTGCGGCGCTTGCTCGGCCATGGTGTCAAAGGCCAAGGGTTGGGGGGCGCAGCTGGAGCCGAAGTCTCACGTTCAAGGTGTACTTGGACGATCATGGGACTTAGTAAGTAAGGTTGAATGTACCTTAATTGGGGTTGTAAGTCATTCTAAGTATGGTTACCTTATTTATAATCCCAGCTACTATGTCCCATGATCCTAGGGCTCCCTTTCAAAGGGTTCCTTTTGAAGGGTCTATAAGGAGTACTACAGGGATTTAGTGTAGGGGCCTTAACAATTAAAATTGGCTTTGGGGTGATTTAGGCCACCATATTACTCTAGTCTTCAGTGTGCTGGAGTTTAGGGTTTAAAGAGTTTCAGGTTTACGGGTCGGGGTGGTTTGGAAAGGTTTCAGGGAATTGAGCTTTTGGTGAAGTCCGAGCGGACGATTCGGGTTTCAAGGATTTAGGGATCTTATCTCGGTTTAAGGTGGTTCGATACTGCTTCTAGATGGGTTTTCATAAGGGGGCTGCACGGGTCTTATCGGAGGTGTAATGAAGGCCCATTACAGTTAGAATTTCGGGGAATACTACAGTATAACATGAAGAGAGAACTTTGAGAAATAGTTTTGGTCATTACTCCGTCCGCTACCATACTAAGCCCGATAAACCCTTATTGCAACCCTTTCTGTAACCTATTTACGGATCCCTTTAAAAGAGCCCTTTACACCTTTAAAAGAACCTTCGGAGTATAAAGGCTCAAACTTGCCTCCAACGAGTCTTGGGTACCGGGCTTTAGCCTTCCAGGGCGGAGTATTATACAGTTTCATGGCTTCAGTTTTGTGTACTGCTTAGGTCTGAAGGGTTTTAGAATCCAACCTCGGTTTTCAAGCGGTTGAATAAACAACGGTTTTCAAGGCTTTCATTAGGGTGTCATAAAGTTTTGTGGAAATGGTTGAGCGTTTAATAGTAAAACCTAAACCCAAAGTCCTGAAAGGGACCCCAATTATAGAACCCTCTAGTTCCGATATGCGGAACACGAACCTTTTAGGGGGCTCAGGATTCAGAGTGCAGGGTGTTCAGGTTGACGGCTTTTGGGTTTTAGGGCTTGGGAATCAGGCCTTGACGGCTTTCCTGTTGTAACTGTTTCGGGTTTAGGGCTCTAGAGTTCTTAATTATCGGGTTTAGGGGTTCGGGGTGACGGTCTAGGGATTTGTGGGTTGAGTTGGGATTTTCGGGTCAAGGGATTTGGGTTTAGGGCTTGGGGATTTGGAGTTGGGGGTTTGGGTTACGGAGCGCTTCAGGGCGTTAAGGCTGAGGGCTTTGAGCTGTAAAGCTTTAGAGCTTCAAGTTTTCAGGGGCGTAGGACGATAGTCCGAATGATCTACGAGTAAGAAGGCGGGCCGTTTCCAAGCAGAGCGTTTTGGACATCGGCTGTCGGATGTTTTTACAAGGAACCATAAGTCTAGTTAGCTTACTTGTAACCCTAGTTACTTATCCCCAGCTCATGCAATTTCAGAGAGCCTATGAAATCTGATCAGCCACATCATGCGAACCCAAAACCACCAAGCCCTCACACCCCGAACCCCCGATAGACTGGAAAGATCCTGGTCCACAACATACTACAACATGCTGTAAACATCTACAATAACTATAAACTACCAAAAATAATATATTATGTTAAGTTTGCGCTCACCTACTATACTGCATTATAAACTGCTATACCATGCTAGAGTCTGACCGGAAGCAGGAAGTTTGAGGTCAGGTGCTGGCATCGGCTTTTCCCTCGCAGCTCTTGGAGCTCAGTCCGTCCCAGGTCAGGCTGCCTGCTTGCAGTTTAGTATAGCATCCAGTGAAGTAGAGCATAGTACACTGTAGTATTGTGTTCGTCTGTTGTAGTGTTATGCTGCTTGCCGTTTGCGTTGTAGATAGCATTCTGATTACTATCAAACTGCTTTGAACACTGCTTTACAGTATATTTGGAAAGCACCTGTGCAGTACCACTTTCTCCTGTTCTATGGCCACACGGCTGGCTTCCTCTTGTCAGGCCAAAAGATACAAGGGACCTCCTCTCCAGACATTGGAGTTACAGTGCCGCGTATTGGGCTTGCAAGGCTCCAGACACACAAGCTGACAGCTCCAAGCACGGTTTTGAGGCCTGATGCTTGGAGGGGCTCCGTGGTAGAAGACTCTTTCGTACTGCGGCGGCGCCTGTCGCAAAACAGAGTGCAGAGAGTCAACATTATACTGTAAACGAGGATACACCTTCGCAGAAGATAAGCGGGTTCGCACCCAAGCTGCAGTTCTGCGAGGGGCGGCCGAGTACCATGAGAGACTCGATGCTAGACACCTCCAAGTATTCGCGCCAACCAGCGGCGACCTCGTCTGAACCCTAAACGGTACCAGAAGTAACGCAGGTTCCACCATCCCATCTTGCGAAATCTTTCAGCCAAGCAGCTGGTGTAAGGCTCAGCAAAGCCGCACGCCGCAGAAAGGCCGATGAAGCAACGCAAGGTTCTGGGCCGGACGCCAGGAAACCTCGGGCTCAGACATGACTCACTCAAGCCCTCTTCATCCACCTTTTCATGACTCACCTGAGATGGGCAGCCTCCGGACTTCACAGGAGGGCTTCGGGGTGCGCCCGCGAGGGCGAGGCGCACGGCCTGAAATCAGCATCGGCTTGTAGGTGGATCACACTTGCAACTACATGACACGCAAAGCGGCAAGGAACACCCTTCTTTTCCTCTCCACTGGTCAAGCGCATCTGATCCGGCTGCAGAGCTCCGTGGGCTGCCTCGGGAGTTGGTTGGAGCTTAAAGACAGCTCCTGCAGCTTCCCGAGGCCGTGGAAGACTTCGGGCGCAAGGCTCTGGAGTTGGTTGGAGCTTAAATCCAACTTCATCAGCTCCCCTAGACCATGGAAGACTTCCGACGGAAGGCTTTGGAGTTGGTTGGAGTTCAATTCCAACCTCACCAGCTCCCCCAGACCCTGGAAGACTTCGGACGCGAGGCTTTGGAGTTGATTGGATCGTAAATCCAACCACTTCAGCTTTCCGAGGCCCCGGAAGACTTCGGGCGGAAGGCTTTGGAGTTGGTTTGAAGCCAGATGCAATGCAACCAGCTTCCCGAGGTCTTGGAAAAGGTGGGGTGGGAGTGTGGGGACTTGGAAGTAGTGGAGAGCAAACTCGCGCAGCTCGCTGAGCTGCGAGAGTCCTCGCAGGTCTTCTAGGGAGGGCACCTTGCCCATCGACGGGCACAGGTCGCAGGCAATCTCCAGCGATTTGAGCTGGGGAGCTAGGCTTGCCAGGGCGCTGATGCGGCGCAGCTGCGCCGCATCTTCGAGCTGCAGCTCCAGGCTCTGGAGGTTGGCGAAAGCTGCCTGCAGCAGGGATCTCCACATTGTCACTCCAGGAAAATTTACCTAGGGCCTCGTCTCCCAAAATCTGCACCAAAACTGATACACCAAAACTAATCCCTAAAACCTGGCTACGCAATTCTTACTTGATTGACATCATTAAACCCCTCACTTGGAAGCACGAGACCACTGAACTGTTGAAGCGCCTACGTAAGATCTATCTTGCTCTATCAGTCTAACATTGCCATGGTGTTCTGGTGATCTGATCATAAAATCGCAAAGAGACTGTGAAAGGCTGGGCTGGGGGCCGCACCTGGATCTTCGGCGTGACGGGCGGCATCTTGGCCGAAGGGCTCTGCATCAACGCCCGTGCCAGAAACTTTGGAAGGTCCTTGCTCAGGGCTGCAACTGTGGCCAGCAGGTCGCTGGAGACCTCGGGCAGCTGCCAAAGCTCTTTTGCAGCGCCTCTGTCGAAGATCCAACCATCCTCCACAGTGAGATTCTGACGGATCGCCTGCATCAAACCCTGGCCATGTTCGCCGAACTCGGCTGCTTCTAGCAGAGATGCAAATGGAATCCTCATGCCAAAATCTTCGAGATGAACGGCTTGTTGAGTGCAATACCATTGGTGCTCTCGGATGCTCTGGCTGCATGAGGGGGCATAAATTGACAGGCATGTCAGGAGCGTCACCGTCTTCTCGGGAGACACCAATGCTGGCGGGTTCTTTTTTTGATTGGTTAAACGATCGTAAGTTTTTCCACCGCCTAAGCTTTCCTTACGCACTTTCTCGCACAGATGATCTGCACAACCGGGCAGTAGCTCGCAAGTGGCATCTGCTGAGGCAAGGATGGCCCCTTCAGTGCCAATGCTGGGATCGAGCAGTGAGCAGCCGTGGCGCCTAGCCGCCCACGCGACCGGACTGTCAACGCCTTCGAAGGCCAGAGCCACGCCGTGCTCCCGCGTCACAACATAACCTGACCAGCCTGACTGGCCTGCATGACCCTTGCGTAAGACGACAGTAAAGGTCGGTGACACCTCAGGGCGACCCCTGAGAGGGTCGATTCCGATGACCAGCGGCTTGTCCCTCAAGGGTTTTCCGTGGGTGACACCGCCTAGTGCCCCGCAGATCTCGTAGCGGGATCTCAGAAAGCTGCTTTCTCGACAACGATGGTGCTGCTGTAGAAGCTTCATGTCATCTATGCTGGGCGAACGCCAGTCCGACCAGTTCGCTCGAAAAGCCTGGGCAAGTCTGCGATTGCATGTACAATATCTCAAGCATCATACCTCTCCTTCTTACATAAATCCGTAAGGAACATAAGGGCTGTGAGCCAGGAGCCAAGTAGCAGGATCGGGCAGCACGGGCATGACCAGCAGGCGCAACTTCTTGAAGTCCACCGGATCATACTCGGAGATCACGACGCTGAGCTTGCCTTCTGTGTCCACGGAGTTCTGGGAGTTCAGGATGACGGTTCTGCTGCCTCTCCCTGCCATCTCCCCCACAAGCATTGTGAGGAACTCGGTTGGTAGGGGAGGTCCCCGGTGTAGTGTAATTGGTGTGATCTGTGCCTGCGCTGCATACATTAACAATAGCAACAACACCATATCGAACGTGACAACATGAACAAGCAGTCCTCGAAATGCTCCTCTCCAATCTGCAGATGCAGGGAGAAGCGAAGTGTAGCAGTGTCTGCAGACCAGTCTGGTCGAACCATCCCGAAGGAAAGCCTGCTTCTCTCCATGTCCACGGCATGACTACACATCGCCGATTTGTTTTCCTCATCCAGCACACAGCCGTCGAGCCAGCCCTGCAAACGCCGGTCATGTCTCGCGAGCAGTACTGTGCCGAGGCTTGGGCCTTGGGTTGTGTTGAATTCGCCGATGTCGCTGGCCTCCCAGCAATCTCTTTCGCCCACTATTCTGAAGCAGCCGCTGGCTCCAGCATAAGACTGAAAGCACTCCAAGTTCAGCGCGCAGTCGTGGGCACAAAGATCTTCTGTGGCATTAGCAAGCCAATGAAACGACGTCCAAAATTTGGCAGTCTCAGGGCTGCAGCCAAACAACTTGTGCTCTGACTGCGGAAGCCCCAAAACGAAGTCCGCCACACCCACCTCCACTGTAAGGTTTTGTACACCTGCAGGAAAACAACAAAGCCTTCACTTTCCTGGCTCTCAGGCCTGGTTGGGAAATTTCCCTACGCCTTACACCCCGAATTAGTATCAAATGTATTCACAGTTTCACTCCTACACTCCTCGACCTTCTGGAACACTGAAGACCGAGCCATGCAGTGTAGACCACGCGATGGTCCTCTGGAAGCCCTCAGTGCTGAGCCAAAGGACCGCAGGCAGCGTCGTGGCCGGGGTGAACCGCACCGTGTAATTCGTTGGAGGAAGTGAAGGCCGAAGGCCTTGGACACTGACAATGGCCACGCGCGGGACTTGGCTGCCAGCCAAGTTAACCTCCTCCACTGCAGTACTGTGGTTTTCCTCAACAAGAAGACATTGTTGCTTCGGCTCGCTGTGGGCCGATGAAAAGGATGTCTGATGCACGGGGTGTGGCGGGGTGAAAAATAGGAGCCGTGTGGTGGAAGGCCGCACCCAGGCAACCATTGCCAGCCGCTGGTACGAGATGTCTGTAATCACTTCGTAATGCGTCTGCCTGTGTCGCGACAAGAATCGAAAACGCAAGACGACACCTACATTGCGAGACGACTTGAAAACCTAATGGGGTCCCCCTCCCTTTTCCCGTGCTCAGTTCCACAGCTCAAAAGGGGCCCTTTAAAAGGTCCCTGGACATCCCAGACAAGACCGAGACCGAAACCCAGGATTTTTGTTGTTGCTGCAAGTAGTACCCTCTACTGGTTGCTGGAGAAATCTGTTGCTGCCAATGCCACTGCCAGTGCACCCCGAACAAGGCAGGCAAGCGCTCTCGGTCTTCGGCTTATGATGCCATCAGGCCAAGCAGCCACGGGGCGAAGGTGAGGGAGTTCGAGCTGGGAAGCGTAAGCTCCGTGAGCTCACCCGCAGAGCAAGCATAGTTTGCCATGTGGATGGCAGAGATGCACCATGACGCCGCCACCAATGTTACCAAGGCTGGAAGGACGAGGAACCCGGAGTAAGACCCGCTCAAGACTCTTATCATGGGTCCATGCTGCACAAGACCCAATCGTGTCCGGCGCCATGCGGAAGTCGAGGACGAGCGCAAGAGCTTTGGGAGGTCCTGCAAGCTACCGTCACGAAAACAAAGCTACATTGCTGTTTGTCATTGAACACAAGTTCACAACTTCTAGTGCCATAGGGGCAACAGCCGCAAACAAGAGAGAACAGCACCGTGACGACGATTAGGATGACGACAACTGATTACATACCAACAATCATAAGACGAAATAAGAAGAATGCTCGTGCAATCGAGACCACTACTGGTTGTAGGCTGCAACTCCTGCTATTACGTATCACTACCACGAGGAGGACGAATATACGGTGCTTATAGGACCTCGCGCTATCGTTCGTCGCCGTGTCGCTGCCGTGATGGCTGTAAACAAGGGTCCTCCGCCTTGCTTGCAAGTAATGTGCCCCAAGGCAGCTTGACCGGCGTGGGCTTTTCTGGTATCCTGAGTCGTAGTTGTTGGCTCTCTATGCAACCCAGAGATTTGTTTGTGGATCTGTTCGATTCAAGGGTCAGCTTTCTCTGCAGAATACAACTTAAGAAATTGCCCCCTTCCGTCTAGCTTCTGTGCGAAATTCATCGATGTGACCTCCACCGTGTCGAGCCCCTTTTTGATGTCATGGGCTGCGCTCACAGCCTTTAGGACGGTCCACGCAGAGCCGCCCATCGCCGCAAGGGCGACAAGAAGACTGGGGAAGTCGGTGCTAACAAGGTACAAGATGTACAAGAAGTAAACGAAGATGGCACAAACCAGGCATGCGTCCACACCGTGACCTTCTGGAAGGTCTGTCAGGATTACTCCCAAGCTCAGGCTGACATGGGCAAGCTGCTTCATCGCAAAGAGATGCATGAGGTGCAACGTGGCCGCCAATGCAAGGGCGGTGGGGAAGGCGGCGACAAACCACACCACGGCCTGGCAAACAAGCAGCTGCTGCACTTGAGCACAATCCTTCAAACAATGGTTGGATGACATCAGGATTCCACAAGATCAGGATCATTGTCCTCCATCGGGGCCCTTCGCCAACCCCTGCTGACAACTGGCGAAGTGGTTTCAATGCGGACATTTCACTACCGCACGCTTCACAACAGTACATGTCCAAATCACGATTGAAAAAGTTATCCCATTCAAAAAACCCAACATCATAGCCTTACCAAGCGACCACGACATCACTTCCAAAACCAAGCCGCTGAACTTGCACTGGAAAATACTGCTATCCTTCTACACTACATTCCGTGACATCTTCGTGGGGTGAAAAGCCTGAAGGGAGGCTGCTCTGACTTTCCCGGCCAGCCTCCTGGTCACAGGACTTCCGGACCACTGCAAGTGCACCAGTTTGCATTGCGGTTAAGGAAAAGATGAAGCCGGCAGCCCAGGAAAAGCCGGACACAAAATTGCCCAATGGCGTCTTGACTTCCGCCAGCACTCGGACATCTGGCTCGGGCTTCAGCGGTTCCAGCTGCCTGGCCCAGGCCAGCCACAGCATCCAAACCATGACTCCAACCACCAACACACAGCTCACCATCAGGGTACCTCGGGTGGCAGGTGTGGCAGATCTGTCACGTTGCAAGGAGGGTGAATGCGAAGCCGTTCTTTTTTGGGTGGAAGGAGGGGGCGAGTCTACGACTACTTGCGGCAGCAGATCCAGCAATTCGAGCAGAGGCACACATCACAAGACAAAGACCACCGCAATAGCACCACGAGGAGGACAAGCACTATCAAGAAGACGACAAGCAGCATACAAGTAGTAGTAATAGTAGTAGTAGTAGTAGTAGTAGTAGTAGTAGTAGTAGCAGTAGTAGTAGTAGTAGTAGTACTACTACTACTACTACTACTACTACTACTACTACTGCTACTGCTACTGCTACTCCTACTCCTACTCCTACTCCTACTCCTACTCCTACTCCTACTCCGACTCCGACTCCGACTCCGACTCCGACTCCGACTCCGACTCCTACTCCTCCTTCTCCTCCTTCTCCTCCTTCTCCTCCTTCTCCTCCTTCTCCTCCTTCTCCTCCTTCTCCTCCTTGTAGGAGTAGGAGTAGGAGTAGGAGTAGGAGTAGGAGCAGGAGCAGGAGCAGGAGCAGGAGCAGGAGCAGGAGCAGAAGGAAAGGAGCAGGAGGAGGAGTAGGAGTAGGAGTAGGAGTAGGAGTCGGAGTCGGAGTCGGAGTCGGAGGCGGAGTAGGAGTAGGAGTAGGAGTAGGAGTAGGACAAGGAGCAAGGAGCAGGAGCAGGACCAGGAGCAGGAGGAGTAGGAGGAGTAGGAGGAGTAGGAGGACTTGGAGGAGTAGGAGGACTTGGAGGAGTAGGAGGAGTAGGAGGAGAAGGAGGAGAAGGAGGAGTCCTACTCCTACTCCTACTGCTACTCCTACTCCTACTCCTACTACTTACTACTGCTTCTACTAGTAGTACTAGTACTGCTACTACGACTACTACGACTACTACTACTACTACTACTACTACCACTACTACCACTACTACCACTACTACCACTGCTACCACTACTACCACTACTACCACTACTACCACTACTACCACTACTACCACTACTACCACTACTGCCACTACTGCCACTACTGCCACTACTACCACTACTACCACTACTACCACTACTACCACTACTACCACTACTACCACTACTACCACTACTACCACTACTACCACTACCATAACAACTACCATACTAACTACCATACCACTACCACTACCACTACACTACTACCACTACCACTACCACTACCACACTACCACTACCTACTACCACTACCACTACCACTACCACTACCACTACTACCTACTACACTACTACTACTACTACTACTACTACTACTACCACCACCACCACGACTACTACTACTACTACTACTACTACTACTACTACTACTACTACTATTTTTCAATTGAACGCTGCGCGAGCGTGCTCTGCGCTTTGCGGGCGCCTGTGCTCCCGTGCACTCGTGAAACTCTTGAGACTCAAACTTGCATCCATCGCTCTAAAATCCTCTCAGAAACAGCTCTACTAGAGTGAAAAATCTGCTCCTCCTCCGCCACCCCCGTGTAAGCTGACGCGTCCGTCGCTCACCTGCCCACAGCAATTGGGACGTACTCCCGAAGGAGCCGACTCCCCGAGTTCCCGTCTAGTAGCGTCCCACACTAGCTGCGAGCAATTGGCCCTAAGGGCTCGGTAGTGCCAGGGTACCTGCAGTGCAGTGAGGCTGCTCTAGCCTTCTGTCACAGCGTGCTTCGAACGGAAGCGGCATGCGTCGAGCCGACTGTTTTCATCTAGGCTCACGCACTGCAAAGGCGTATCTTCTGAAAAGAGTGCATTGCAGTCAGAAGAAGCTACTATTCAGTCCCGGAGGCTGTGCCATGTGGGAGCATGCGAGGCTGTGCCTGGCTGCTTTAGGAAGAAAAGGCAATTGAAGTACCGGATCACTGATTGTGGCCTCGTGGCCACTGCTGATAGCCAGCCCCACTCATCATCGTATGAAGGTTGGGTTGGTCTGGTCCATTGGCTTGAAGAAGAGGAGGAGGGGGCGCTGTCTCGTGGACCGGGGCCGAGGCAGCTTTTGCGACCTTCCTGTCCTCCTCGATGCCCTTGCTGTGCTCGATCTTCATCTTCGTGACAGTCTGAGAGTCTCGAGTGGGCTTGACCCTGAACATGCGCGCTTGCAGTCCAGCAGATTTGGCCGCCTCATTGTAGACCGTCATGATAGAAGTCGCGATCAGGTTGAACTCGACTTTCGTGGGGAAATGCCGTTGAAAGTCTTTCTCATCCCACATCCGATTGAAGCAAGCGTGAATGAGGCCATGCACTTTGGTCGGCGCCTCGAGTTCACTGTAGGCTTCTCCCGTGCCGGTTGCTATGGTGACACGGCGGTCCTGAGCTAGTACTACTACTACTACTACTACTACTACTACTACTACTACTACTACTACTACTACTACTACTACTACTACTACTACTACTACTACTACTACTACTACTACTACTACTACTACTACTACTACTACTACTACTACTACTACTACTACTACTACTACTACTACTACTACTACTACTACTACTACTACTACTACTACTACTACTACTACTACTACTACTACTACTACTACTACTGACTACTACTACTACTACTACTTACTACTACTTACTACTACTTGCTACTACTTGCTACTACTTACTACTACTTACTACTACTTACTACTACTTACTACTACTTACTACTACTTACTACTACTTACTACTACTTACTACTACTTACTACTACTTACTACTACTTACTACTACTTACTACTACTTACTACTACTTACTACTACTTACTACTACTTACTACTTACTACTACTACTACTACTACTACTACTACTACTACTACTACTACTACTACTACTACTACTACTACTACTACTACTACTGCTACTACCACTACTACTACTCCTACTGCGACTGCGACTGCGACTGCTACTACTGCTACTACTGCTACTACTGCTACTACTGCTACTACTGCTACTACTGCTACTACTGCTACTACTGCTACTACTGCTACTACTGCTACTGCTACTACTACTGCTACTACTATCACTACTGCTACTGCTACTGCTACTGCTACTACTACTACTACTACTACTGCTACTATTGCTCTGGTCTGGACGATAGCAAGAAGAACTAGCAGTCGTTGCCATCTTCGTCGCGGTCGTCGTAGTAGCAGTAGTAGCAGTGGCAGTAGCAGTAGCAGGAGCAGGAGCAGCACAGAAGCATGCCTGACTAGATTTCAATCAGAATCGGCGGCCCTCCCAGTGATGCTGCACAAATCAAAAATCCTTCGGTGCTCTCCCCAGGCACCGACCAAGATATCTGGAACTCCCTCAGGACAGCGCCCCATCGCCAGCCTCAGAAGCTCTGAGGGTTATTTCGTTAAAGTTTGGGGGTCTTCCACGAGGTGCAGTCCCAGCGGTTTGGCTGCCGAGCTGCTGCAGGGCCCTTGCCTTGCTGGAGTGCGGAAGCCTGGCGGCCATGCGTCCCAGCACCTCAGCGCGAGAGCCCTCAAGCCTCCAACATGGATCAAGCCGGAATGGCTGGCAACGACGGTCATGATGCTCATCCGGCTGGGGCGAAAATTCGAGTGACATGATTCTATAAGGAGGCTGGGAGATGGTGAAATTTCTGTGGTTTGCCAGGTCCACAGCCAAGGAACTCCAAGTGGCTTCTCCCCACTGAGCTTGCAAATGCACTGAGCATTCCTCGAAAGAGGCATCTGCGAGGCGAGGCTGCAGCTACCTGCAAATGACCTTATCCCTGAAAGCAGGCCACACCCATCAACTTCGGCCAAGAAGCCGTGCTGCGCAAAGCTTCAGAGGGTCTGAGGTCGCAGCGCGCAGCTTGTTGATCAGAACAGGGTCTGCAAACACCGCCGCAAAGATGCCGTTGAGCGGGTCCTGTCTCAGTGGCCAAGACTATAATCAGATGCGCGGACTCGGCCACATCAGCACAGATAGTCTTCCTGCCTGCCATCATTCCAACAGGAAACTGTCATGAGCCATGTCTCGTGCTGAACTCTTGACCCCGGCCCGCCGGGGCTCCCTTCAGGAGCCCTTCTCGTCTTGTAAACTATACTTCTCATGATCTATGAAGCACGAGTTCGGCTTCGTATGGCCTGCAAGTAAACACGTCCGAACTGATACAAAGGCCGCATCCGCTTGCGTCCTGCGCATCCATCCAAGGCACAATGCTGGCGGTGGTTCCAGGAGCCGAACAGCTGCCGCTGATGAAGTACCTCATTTTCACATCTCGAAAATGTGAAAATGGATAGTTTAACACCGAGCCGCTGCTCTTCACTGTTCACGGTTCTGGCCGCTTCTCCACGCAGCTCGTAGGTGCCACTGCGACCCATCGGCGATGTGCATGTCATCGAGCAGTCGTTGCCAGCTTCCCTTAGGGGCAATGCGAGCAGCTGCACAGCTTTGAAGCTCTCTTTGTGCCCCGAATTGGTAACTTCTGTCCACATCAGCTGGGGCCGGAGGTTATTTGTCCCGATCTAAGGCTAGGTCAGAGGCGCATGGAACACCCAGCGTGGTATCACACAAGCACAGCACACTCCGGAAAGCTTTGTGGCTTGGGGTTCGAACCGTCACAGGATAAGGCTTCCGGAGGCTTTTGGAAGCCCGCTGAAAGCTGCTGAACACGGCTGGCATTGAAAAATCTTTGATGCACTTGGAGTTGCTCCTACCTTTCATTTCGGTGTTATTGTTTCTTTTTGCTGGCCTTGGCTTTGGTAGGGAAGTGTCTTTGTCGGGTCGGGACTGCCCGCCCGGGCTCCGGAGCAGCTTCTGGACGATTTTGGAGGCTCTGGAGCCCCGGCATCTGTTGAACAGGTCACTTGCTGCGGCTTGCTGCGAAATCTATGGAAACCTGGGCCTGAGCCATTCGACGCGCACGCTGACGCCGAGCGTCGGCAGATCAGGATCAAGATCAGAATGTCGAATGGCCACGCTGCTCTTCAGCTCCAGGAGCAAGGCCACATACAAAAGGATGCAGCATGTTCGTACATGAAGGAATTTCGCAACCGTAGGCATATCTTGAGCCAGACAGGCTGCAAAGAGTGCCCATGCTCAAACCTTAAAGCTAAAACGATACATGCCTAGAGTTGGTTAGGTGCCACCACCTACAGCACCATAAAATCCAAAGATCCGTGACTTCTAAACACCAAAACGAGCCGATGAACACTCGCATGCCAAAAACCGTGAATCTCATCTCCGCAGATGCTCAAGTTTCATTGCTCAGGCCATGGGGGCATGACCGTCCAGCCTTCCTTTGTTGATGTCTCCTGTAATGCCTAGCGACTTTTCAACCGGTAGGAATGGGTGTGCACGTTCGTATTCCGAAGGAAGACTGCAGTTTGAGGTGACATGACTGACACAATCACTCGCTCCAAGCGCTCTCTTTTCATATGAGATATCGCACGATGCTGTGGAGGTTTGAACACAAACAAGTTGCGGGCCAGCAATAATAGTAGATTGATGCAGTAGTGCTAAAGATCGTGAACATGAAAATAATGATCAAGCAGATTGGTGATGAATCCGAAGACGAATGAGGGCATCAGGAGGGGGGCAGGAGGATGGATGAGGAGGTGGATAAAGGAGGATGAGGGGTAAGACGACTACGAGAAGAAGAGCTGCCTCACGACGATGACGATGATGGTGATGGTGGTGACGACATCAACATTGTGCGGCAAGCTTTTTCCATCCAGCCATGGTCGTCCCAGTGGTCTCCTGAGACTCCGAAACCCCAACCCTACTACGGTTTAAGGAGCCCTTTAAGGTATAGTTCCTTCTTGTAAGGGGTTTGGGAGTCTCTGGCGACTCAGGTGAAGCATTTTACCGTCCTCTTTTTGCAGACCTTCGGCAACTCCTCGAGGTGGTTGGAGTTGAGATGGATGCTCTTCCTGGGCGCTTTGAAGGCTCCAGAAAAGGGATCCAAAAAAATGGAGAATATGCCTTAAAGGGGTCCTTAAAGGGATCTATAAGGGTTCTATACGGGATTTGCAGTATATTCCTTGAATGATAGCAGGATCCGTACTATGATCTAGAACCCTAAAATGAGGGTTTCCGGAAATAGGGGACCCTAATGTAGTACCCTAAATAGTAGGATCCTTATGATAAGGACCCCCAAATAAGGTACCCCTAATTTTCGGAAACTCCCAAATCGCCCCCGAGCTTCAGTCTCTTGAGAGGCTGGAAGAGGACTCCCGGGAGACTTCGGAAGGGATTGGAGCTCAGGTCCAGCCGCTTCAAGCGCTCCAAGCTTCCTGAGGTTTAGGGTTTAGGGTTCAGGGTTTAGCGTTTAGGACTTAGGGCTTAGGGTTTAGGGCCCTGTTAAGGAATGAAATCTTCAAACTCAAGTTACTAGAGCAGGGTTCCGAGCTTCCTGAGGTCTTGTTGAGGAGTGGTATTTTTAAGCTGCTAGATTGTGAACGGTTCAGGGTTTAGGGTTTAAGTTGTAAAAAGTGCTCCAACTTTCCTGAGGCCTTGTTATTAACTAGGTTAGTGAGCAGCCCCTTTTAGAATAAGGGCACACTTTTTCTGACTAGTCTGTTTTTTTTATAATAATAATAATGATAATAATAATAATCATAATAATAATCATAATAATAATAATAATAATAGGGAGGCGCCAAAACATGAAGGGCAAAAGGGTACTACTCAGGAACCAGGGAATGAAATCTGGAAATCTGAGTTACTGTAGCAGGGCTCCAAAATAACTACTACTCTAAAACGGTACTTCTGGGAGACCTACTAGACCCCAGTAACCTAGGAATAAAAGGGGCGCCCTTAAAAAGGGAATAATCCTCGCCTAGTTTCGGAAGAGCTCTGCAGGGAGTCGCTGGAGGTGGTTCGAGCTGAGCTTCAGCTGCTCCAACCGCGGGAGGTGCTTGAATCTGGGTCAGGGATTAGGGTTTGAGGTTCATGGTTGAGATAGGAAAATGTACATGTTTATTCCTTACTGGGTTTAAGTACAGGGTTCATGGTTGGGATAGGATTCGGGTTTACAGTAAGATTTTTTTAAATGCAATGGCCCCTTCCAACTCTCGCACGTACAGTGGGGTCTAGGGATTAGGATTTAGGATTCAGGGTTTAGGGTTTAGGGTCTTATTCCATATTGGGTTTAAGTACCCGTAAAAATCTAGAATGATACCCAACTATGACAAAGGAACACGTCCGCCGGCAGGCTCTCCAGCCCGTTGGAGCTCAGACGCAGCATTGTCCTGGGCTTTTAAGTAGCCAGGGAGAAAGAAGTATAAACTTGTATTTCATAGTGATTCGTTAAGAGAAAGTATTAAAGCATGGTACTCCCAAGCCCAGTGTCAGTTGCCCCAAACCCTCGAAAACCTCTGCAGAAAGGTTTCTCAGCCGATTGGAGTTCCTTGGTTGCTTTATGTAGGGAGGGGCCTTAATAATTAGCATAGGGTTTGGGGGGCGTATTCTACTTATAGTTACAAGAAGGAAGCCCTAAAACCCTATTCAAATTATGAAGGCCCCTACAGTAGTTCCCTGGCTCAAAAGTGAGGCTAGCCTTTCTGGTCTGGTTCCTGAGAAGCCCCTTTATACTAAGGGTTTAGGGTTTAGGGTTTAGGGTTTATATAATAATGGTACCCGTGTTCTTACAATTGTGTCTTCATAAGGAGGCCCCAGGGCAAGAGGGTACTACTCAGGAACCTAAACCCTGCGCCGTCGCAGCCCATGAACACTCCAAGGGTACTACTCAGGAACCTGGCTGGTTATCGTAGTAGTGTCATTGCTAACACCAAAAGGCTAATATTAGAATAGGGAGGCCCATTATACTAAAACTATAGTAAGGAACCCCAAACTAGTATAGCTAATTATTTAGGCCCCTTAAGTAACACCTTAAAGGAACCCCTAAAGGAACCCTAAAAAAAAACACCAAAAGGCTACCTCCTGGCTCCCAGGTGTAACTAGGGTTATAAATAAGGTAACTATACTTATACTTACTTATAACCCCAGTTAAGGTACCTACAACTGCACTTACTAAGTCCCATGATCCTCTAAGTAGACCCTAGACCCTAAACCCTGTAGATCCCTCTAAGGAGCCCTATAGATCCCTTTAAGGAGCCCTGTAGATCCCTTTAAGGAGCCTGTTAAGGAGCTCACCAAGGTGCAGATGCAGCCCTTTCAGCCCGTCCAGGCCTCGGAAGGCCCTGGGCCGGAGGCTCTCCAGCTGATCCGAATTCAGCGTGAGGCCCTTCCTGAGGTTAGGGTTTAGGGCTTTAGGGTCTAGGGTCTAGGGTTTAGGGTTTAGGGTTTAGGGTTTAGGGTTTAGGGTTTAGGGTTTGGGGTTTAGGGTTTAGGGTTTTAGGGTTTAGGGATGGGATTTAGGAAGTAAGGATACAAGTACCTATAAGGGCTCATATAAAGGGATCCATGAGGAGGATCCGAATTCAGCGTGACGCCCTTCCTGGGCTCTTCTTGGAGGATCATGGGACTACTTAGTAAATACTTAAAGGGCTCCTTAAAAGGCTCCTGAAAGGGATCTATAAGGTTAAAGGGATCTATAGGGTTTAGGGCTTAGGGTTGAGGGATGGGACTTAGGAAGTAAGGATACAAGTACCTTAAGTGGGGTTAGAAGTAGTTATAAGTATGGTTACCTCATTTATCCGAATTCAGCGTGAGGCCTTTCCTGGGCTCTTGGAGCGTTTAGGGTTTTAGAATTCTGGGATCCTTAAGGGAGGGGGGTCCAAGGGGGGTATATAACCCAATAGTTCCTTTTTCTTCCTAGTACTCCCCAAGGTTCCCTAAGGCTCCCTAAGGTTCCCTAGTACCCTCCCCCCTTGAACCCCCCTCCCTTAAGGATCCTTTAATAGAAGTTCGGGAGTTTAGGGCTTCAGGGTTTTGGGTTTAGGGCTTTAGGGTTTCGGGTTTAGGCCTTTTCTGGGCTCTCTGGCTCCACAAGCAGGATGCTACCCTCTAGTTCTCCCGACAGAATCGTGCAAACCGTATCAAAACCCCCTGCTTAACACCCTTGACAAAAAATGCCTTCAAGACCCCTGTCAAAATCAGCAGACACTAGACACTGAAACTCCAAAAAGTTGGAAACCGAGTTTAAGGACAAGCAGTGCTGGGATACCCTGTACATTACTCTTAACGATTGAGGCTATTGGGTTTCCAGCGTTTGGGCTTCTACTCCGAAAAGCCCTACAAAACCCTATAATCCCCAATAAGCTAACAAACCTTTATAGATCCCTTTAAGGAACCCTTATTCTGGAACCCTACAGTACCCCTTAAAGGGTCCCGATTTCTACTGTACCAGTTTCCCTAAACCCTGTAATACCCTTATAGCACCATTATAGTGCCCTTATAGAACCCTATAGCCCTTACAGTGCCATTATAGTGCCAATATAGAACCCTAAACGAGACCCTAAGAAACCCTTATTATAGAACCCTATAATACCCATTAAAGGGACCCTAAACGAGACCGTAAACCCCTAAGAAGAGCACGAGTTTCAGCTTCCCCAGGCCCGTGAAGGCATCGGCGGGGAGGCTCTTCAGCGGATTGGAGCTAAGATGCCTGCGAGGAATTGGGGTTTAGGGTTTAGGGTCTTGTTTTGAGGGTTTAGGGTTTACGGTCTTTTGTTTTAGGGTTTAGGGTTTAGGGAGTAGGGGTTTTCAATATATCCACTTACATAATTAGAATATTAATATAGAGTTCCTCTAAATGGGTTCCTGAAAGGGTTCTATACAAGGGGCATTGTCAAGGATCTGTATTGTAGGGGTCTTTTTGTAACGGCCTTTAAAAAAAGTGCTATTAGAACAGGGGTATGTTATACTGAGTCTATTGCGGGGTTTCGAGACCTTGATTCAAGCAAGGGTTTCGTAGAGTCTGATAGGGATATTTCTCCAACAGTATGGTACGGTGGATGATATAAATCCTGCATTACCTTATGGACCCGTAACTATGGGAGTTATGGTATATGCCTTAGTATGGGTAATGCAGGATTTATATCATCAACCGTAACACCATGGCCAACATGGGGTGCTTAGCTCTGGGCAAAATAAACTAGATTTGGCTATTCTTCCCTAAACCCCAAACCCTAACCTCAAAACCCTAAACCCAAAACCCTAAACCCAAAACCCTAAACCCCAAACCCTAAACCCAAAACCCTAAACCCAAAACCCTAAACCCAAAACCCTAACCCCTAAAACCCTAAACCCCAACCCCTAAACATGCCGCTGTGTCACGGCGCACACGCTGGACTCCGGATCGCAAGGGCTACCACTCTAGATTCATGAATCACGCCCTCGCCACGTTGCCGCAAGTATTCTGCTGTGCTTCGCCATTATAGTATGGTATAGTACGGTGTAGTATAGTCATGTAGGAACCTGATTAAGAAACCCTAGGCCTATAAGCCCAAAATAGTAGGGTTCATATAAGGAACCCTAATAAAGGCCCAAGGTTTCTTAATCAGGCCATAGCATGTATAGAATAGTATAGTATAGTGCATTATGGTATAGTATAGAGTAGTATAGTATACGATACTGTGGTATGGTATAGTATAGCTTAGTATAGCATAGTATAGTAGATTCTGATGCTCGAAGTCCCTAACATCCTGGCAGGGCCACAGACGAGCGGAATTTTTCGGGGTTTAGGGTTTCGGGGTCAGGGTTTAGGGTTTAGAGTTTGGGGTGTAGGGGTTTAGGGTTCAGGGTTCAGGGGGGGCGATCCCGCCAAGTGCCGATGCTCGCTTTGGTTGCACGCATGGCCTTAATCGCCAAAGTCCGAAGTCTCGCGCGCGTTCCGAAATTGTGCTCCCGCCGCAGGGCCGTCCCGAAAACCGTGCTCCCGCCACAATCCCGTGTGGGACTGGAGCTCCTGCGATTGTGCTCCCGGCTCATGGGATGATCTTGGGAGCCTTAATTAAGGAATATGGCTTAAATTATATAGGGCTTCATATTATGATTGGGATCTGACTTCTAAGTGTAAGGTCTGGGTTTAGCGGCCAGAGGGGTTGATTAAGGAGAGAGAATGCCTTAAATTACAGCAGGAATATGATCGTGACTCCAAACATGATCCTGCATTGACAGGTATCTCGGTATCTCTTATCATGGTACCTTTAGCCAGCTCCTTGATGAGAGCCTATAAACACGGCAGTCTACACAACAAACTTATTCTCATTTCGACGGTCACTCCAAATGCGTATAAACCCATACCAAAACCATTACCAAACCCATTAAACGTCCGATGAATCCGGTAAAACTTCATCAACCCTATAAAACCCCGATTGGAAACCCTTGTAGTAAGAAGAGCCCTGTCAAACACTCTAAAAGCTCGAGAAATCCTGTAAAACCCCATAAACCACAGAATTCCTATCGATGAGAAGCCCTTATACCAAGAAGGTAAGCCCTAAACCCTAAACCCTATACAAAAGCCAAGATGCAACATCTTCAGCACCCCGAGATGCTCGAATAGGCCACTGGGAAGCTGCGAAAGCTGGTTGTAGTCTAGCCTCAGACCCACGGAAACTCCAAGGGTGCCCCTTTAGAGGGCTCCTGTAAGGGTTCCATCACAGAGTTACTACTTTGGGCTCCTTTAAGGGGGCTGTGACAGGGTTCCCTTTCAGGGGCTCCTTTAAGGGATCCCTTTTAGGGATTCCTACAAGGTTTTTTTTAGGGCTTCAGTGTTTGTGAAATATAGAGTTGAGCGAGGGTCTAGAGTTTAGGAGTTGGGGTTGGGGGTGAGTTTAGGGTTCAGGGTACAGCGTACAGGGTTTAGCACGCTTCCTCAACCCTAGACCCTTAAACCCCAAAAGCCTGAAACCCTCTGACCTTAAATAAGATTTCTAAGCTTTAAGTCGTAGAGGAATATTAAACTTGGTTAAACCTGGCTACAGTATATTCCGCCGTGGGGTTTTGGAGTGTCCTTAAGGTAGTGCAGGATTTATATCATCAACCCTATTATAGATCCCTTCATGGAGCCGCAGAAAGCTCCTAGGTCCGGCCTCAGAGTTTTCAGCTCTTTGAGCCCGTCGAAGACGCCTCCCGGGAAGTTTGAAGGGGAAGCCGTGGGGGTTTTAGGGTTCCTTTAAAGGCCACTTAAGGTGTAGGGGTTTGGGATGGTTTAGGGTTGAGGGTTTAGGGTTGAGGGTTTAGGGTTGCGGATGGTTTGAGGTTTGCTGTCTCAAGTGGAAGAGGAGCTTAAGGCTTAAGGGTGTAAGAGCTCTACAATGGTACGAGATGGGTTCTAGAAGGGCTCCATATTCACATGTATTCACGACTTAAGGCTTTGGTTTAAGGTTTATTTAAGAGCTCTATAAGGGTGCACTAAGGGTCCTAAAATAAGGGCTGTTGTAGTGGCGCTTTCAGGGTTTGTGTGTGTTTATTCAGTAAGCTTCTGGCGACGCCTTTTGGAAGCTCAGCGAGTTGGTTGTACTTCAAATTCCTCAGTCGCTCAGTTTACAGGCCTAAGAAAATTTAGGGGTTTAGGGCTTACGGATTGGGGGGTCGAGGGTTTTGGCTTCAGGGCTTAGGATTTAGGGGTTCAGGGGTTTAGAGGTTTAGGGGTTTAGGGGTTTAGGGTCTAGGCTGTTATAGAATCCCAGACGCATAAAACTGTGCCAGATCAACGACCAGATTCAGCTGGGTGAGATTCTGGATGCCATGGAAGACATCGGCGCTGATGCGCTCGAGAGCATTGTTCCTTACGGTCTAACTTGACTTTAAGACTTTTAGAGTCTCCTTCCACGGACCTACAAGGGATCTACAGGCTTTAGGGTCTAGGGTCTAGAGTTTGGGGTTTTAGGGTTTAGGAGAGAGTTGGTCCTCACTTCAAACCTGGTCAACAAACCGCCCGTCCCTCAGAAAGATTACAACCCCAATCTGGTGCGAACGCCCTTTGACGAAGGGCTTCCTGCCTCTGTTGTCTACCTGTGCCCTAAAACTCACCCAAACCCTACAAAACCAAGAAAACAAAATGAAAAAAAACTATCAAACCTATGAAACCAAAACCCAAAGAAGCAACCCTATAAAAAGCCCTGACAAAGCTAAAACCCCCAAAACCACCACTCACTGCTAAGGCTCTGCAGCATCAGCCCATCCAAGCGGCTCAGGCCTGGGTGCCCCAGTAACCCCGTAAGGAACGGAATACGGACCCTTAGGCCTTTTTGAGGGAATTCTGGGGGACCCTTAAGAGTCTGTATAGGGCATATAGTAGGCACTTAGGGATCCCAAGGTTAAGGGCCGGTTTCTTCTTGTTCGTCTCGTAAGGAAGAACCCTAAAAGAAGGTTCAGGGTTTAGGGTTTAGGGTTGAAAGGAACCCCAAAAGCAAAATATAGGGGCCTTAATAATTGGAATAGGGTTTTGGGGTTACATTTTATTATAAATATGATAAGGAACCCCCAAAACCCTGTTCTCATCATTAAGGCCCCTATACTACTGACATAACCATACTAGTAGGAATCCTACGATTCAGGGTACTATATCAGGGTCCCCTAATTTTTCAGAAACTCCCACATATACTTGGAGGTTCATGGGACTTAGTGGGTTATAAATACAGTAACCATTCTTATAAGTACTTATAACCCCAGTTAAGGTACTTATAACTGTACTTACTAAGTCCCATGAACCTCCAAGTACTGATAAAACCTGGAGGCCCAAAAAAACGTCCGAGGGGAGGCTCTGCAGTTGAAAGCCGTCCATCTGGAGGAATCTCAGCTCCCGGTGCCTTGGAAATATCGAGGGGTTTAGGGTTTAGGGGTTAGGGCTGGGAAATATCGAGAAGCGGTGGTTTATAGTGGATAGGGGGGTCCCCTTGAAGGGATCTTTAGGCTTCCTTGTAGAGGGTTTAGGGTGTCGGGGGCTCAGGGTTTAGGGGAATATGGGGGCCGTAACCTAATTCTCCAAGAATAAAAGGAGGTACCCTGAATAAGGACCCCTTGGTATATACCCTTAATAGAGCTGTTATATACCCATGATATAGCCCAGTGTAGGGTAGGGGTCCCCATTAAGGGTCCCTCGTTTTCCCCTTTTCAAATTCTCCTTCCCTGTGTTGCGGCCTGTTGAAAGGCAAAAATTGTTGCGCCCTCTGCGTCAACAACACAATGTTGAGACTGCATAGGGTTTAGGGTGTAGGGGTTTAGGGGTTAGGGGCTTGGGGCTTAGGGTCATACTGCTATCTAACCCCTTACCCTTCGTCAAAATACGATGCTACAACTCAAAGGCTATTCGCAAGAACGGCCTAGGTACCTATAATAAGGACTCAATAAGGCCTATTCAAGGAAGTATAGTCTCCCACCCCCAGAGACTCCAATATCCGGAATATTCCTTAAATCATATAAAGGATCCTACTAGAATTTAAGGAATAGTCCTTAATTAAGGGGTTTTGGAGTTCCCTACCGAGGCTCCCCATGAAAGAACGGCCCAGGTGCGTCGACAAGCCACGCAGGCCCTCCTGATTCGGCACCTTTCGAGGCCCCGGGCAGGAGATGCAGAAGAGCCGCAGGTTCAGGAGCCCGCTTGCCTGGTTTAGGGCTTAGGGTTTAGGGCTTAGGGCTTACGGCTTAGGGTTTAGGGCTTAGGGGTTGAGGGTTTAGGGGTTGGCGATCTTAGAGTTTACGTTGATCCAAGCTTTCTTGCTAGAGTATAGAACTTCGGGTAGAGGTGCAATGGTGGGATATGGCCCCTTAACTAGAGGGTAGGACCCTCAAAACGGAAGGTTATTGGCGCCTAAGAACAATAGATTGGCTCTCGAAGCCATGTTCTAAACATGGCAAAGCTTGCGCCCTTTAGTCTAACAGATATCCTCTTTAGTACTGTAACTCATCTTGCGAATCTTATAAGTACTGCTGCTCTTGCCAGTAGTATTCTTGCAGTTTCTACGTTGCTCAGAAGTTGTGAGGTGGGGGTTTCCGAAAAAAGCGGACCCTAACATAGTACTCTAAATCGTAGGATCCTTGTTATAAGGACCCCAAAATAAGGTACCCTACCTAAACCCTCAGGCCTTATAGATCCCCGAAAGAACCCTTAAAGGAACCCGAGGACCCCAAAATAAGGCACCCCCTGAGATTCGTATTCTCTCAGCAGCCTAGGAGCAAGCTGGGCCAGGGTGGCTAAGCGGTTCAGCTGCGCTGCATCATCCAAGTTCACCTCCAGCACGGTGAGGTCGGCAAAGGCTGCCTGTCTCTGTAGCTTGAGGTTTAGGAACGATGATGATGACTATTTATGATGGAAGATGATGGTGATGATGATGGATGATTAGAAGGATGATGATGATGATGATGATGACGATGGTGATTTCGATGGTGGTGATTGTGATGGTACCGATAAAGAAGAACATAGAGATGAAGCTAAACATACTGATGAGGAGGAGGAGGATGGTGATTCGATGCTGATGCTGATGTTTATCATGAGGAAGCGGGATGATGACAAGATGGTGATGACGATGATGATGACGATGGTGGTGATGAAGACGGCGATGACGATGATGATGCTGGTGATGGTGATGAGGATGGTGACGAGGATGATGATGACGAGATGGTGGTGATGATGATGATGACGATAAGGAGGATGAGGATGAGGACGATGACAACACCATCGTAATTGTTGTCAGGATGGGTGAGGGTGGGTATGTGGGTTTTGGCAGAATGTGTAGAAGTTGTCCGCTTGCAGCTTCTGCGCCAGCTTGGCAAGAGGAGGGCCCGAACCTACGTGCGAAGAGGATACTAAAGGGGCCTAAATCACTAACTCTACCATTTTGGGGGTTCCTTGTTCTAACTATAGTATAGTGGGCCCAAAACCCTATCAAAATTACTTAAGCCCCTATAGCAAGCCTTGCCTTGAGCTGGCTCGTCTCGGGCGGTAACTTCGGAGACGGGCTGCGCATCAGCGATTGGGCCAGGAGCTTGGGCATTCGCCTCTCCTCTTGGGTCTACTTACCTTTATTTAGTAGGGAATGGAGGAATGGGGTACAACTTTAACTACGATTACTACCATTCTTCCATTCCCCAGGGTTTAGGGTTGAGGGGTTTCGGGGTTTAGCCTAAACCCTCGCACCCCCCATGTCACCCTAAACCGTTCCATTAAGGAAGTTGTCAAGGATCCCTCTTGGGTTTAGGGTCTTCATACCCCAAACCCTGAAAGCCTAAACTCTCCTACTAAGGAAGCGGTTGAGGAGTCGCTTTTTAAAGGAAGCCTCAAATCCGAAGAACCCCAAGAACCCCGAGCCCCTTAAACCCTAAACCCGACACCCTATAGATCCCTTGAAGGAACCCCAGGCCCTAGGTATTCCTCAAAGGAACCCCAGGCAGTCTCCTCTTGCACCAGCGTGGCAAGCGTGGAGAGCAGCTCGGCAGACGGCTCAGGTAGCTGCCAGACCCCTGCTGCGGCATCCTCGTCGAAGCGCCCGGCGTCCTGAGAGACTCCGAAACCCCGGTAATTGAGAAATAGACTCCCTGAGTTCTAAGAACAGTGAGAAGAAGAAGGAACCTCAATTGAGGGCTTTGATGCACGTCATGTGCCAGCAAGAATATTATGAAGCGGCGAAGATGCCAACAGAGTGTGTTTTGTTCAGTCTGCTCATGGACGGAGCTGTCAGAAAGTATCAAAAGCTCGAGGAAATTGTGTTTTGTACGTTGCCAGAACAAGAAATCAAGCAGTGGTTGCAAGAGCATTTCGCATCGTAAATCAGAACACGGAGGTCTTTGAGTACATGAGGAGGTCATATATGTCGTGCGTACCGGCAAAAACTTGGGGAATTTGTCAACTTATTTGATTGCAAGCGGTTGCAGCAGGCAAGCAGACGGCTTATCGTAATCGCAAACGTCAAACACAAACACATGTTTAAGCTATTTCTTGAGTGGCATCGATAGCGGCAACTTCTAAACCCGTTGCAGGCACGGCATTCCGATATCGACGTGTTGCTTGCGTTTTTTGTGTATATTGTTTGTTTGCGTTTTGTGGAAACGCTTGGGCGCGTCACAGGACCTCACAACTCTCAGTAGCCACAACCGAAGATTTATCAAAGGAATCTCACACCTCTCACTAGAGAAAACCAAAGCTTTGTCAAAGGCATCTCACAGCTCAGAAGCGGAGATCCACGGTTTATCAAAGGAATCTCACAGCTCTCAGTAGCGAAAAGCTCTCGTGGAAACTTTTCATGAAGCGAACAAGGTAGCACGTGCGCCCACCGAAAAAACGATGCGAAATGGAAAGCTCAGCATTTTTTGTACAGTGTAGCCTGCCAGGTGGCGCAACTTTGATAGAAAACAATGCAAGATCCGATGCGAAAACAAAATGCAGATTCAATTCCGGGTGAGGAACGTGCCGAAACTCCATCAGCACATGACGGCCCCGAAATCGCTCCACCAGACGCACATGCTGCCCCAATGAAGCTTCGGACATGACGGAATTACCCCCCTTCCTCCCAATCCCTTCCCCCCCAACCCCTCGAAAGTGCAACAACCCTGCGTGCACCGGTACATCCGAAATCTGAAATCTGAAAACCGTGTAAAAACCGCAGCGAAAGGCTCCTAAAACCTGATGGTAAGTGCGCGTGACCAGGTCTAGATCATGGCTGGGATAGAATGAAAAATTTAGATTTTTATTCCTTATTGGGTTTAAGTACCCATAAACATGTAAAATGCTACCCAACTATGACAAAAAGGTTTTGGGAAGGAACAATCTGGAATAGAGTCGACATTAAATTATAATAGGAACCCTAATGTGACTTCTGTGCCTCCTCCGTCAGATTTCTCCGGATTTCCTTGAGCAACGACAGACCCGCGAAGTGGCGCAGCCGGTCGGCACGCTCCAACAAAGTTTCCTAATTCATGGTAGGGATAATATTAGGAAAAAGAACATGTTCATTCCTTCTTGGGTTGAAATACCCATGAAAATGCAAAATGTTACCCAACTAAGACAAAAATTTCCATGGGAACTTTCAAGGCGTAGGCCTTGCCAAGGTGAATGCTGCGGCTGCCACTATCCTGGGCTTCGGTTGAGGAGCTTAGCTCTATGGCAGGTCGTTTGACTTACTTATTATTTAAGGGCTCTATACGGGTTTCTATAAGGGTACTACATGGGAGTTATGGGGTTTCCCACAATAGGGGATAGGGGACACTAAGATTATGGTAGCTTACACTAAAGTCCTTGACAAAAGCCAAGAGTCATAGAGCCACCGCCGCTTCCGTTCGAAGTCCTCGCTGCAATCTGGGGCGCGGGTGCGCAAGCAAAGCAAGAGCTTCACCGCACCCTCCGGAGACAGAAGCATCGTCTGATTCGGCTCCCTGCCCTCGTTGAAGTCGTGATAACTGGTGTCCGTGGCGTTCTTGCCTCCCATGCTCTGGGTGCGGACCTTTGTGCACAGCTCTTCGGACGGGCACTCCGAAAGCAGCTCGCAGGTCGCGTCCGCGGAAGCGAAGATGCCCCGTTCGGCCGCAGTTTCGTTCAGCAGCGAGCAGCCGTGCTTGTGAGCCGCCCAGGCAGCGGGGCTGTCCACGGCATCGAAGTTGATGATCACGCTGTGCTCTTGCGACGCCCACTCCCAGCCCTCAACCGCCTTGAGAGCCCCTTTGCGAGGCACGATGGTGAAGGTTGGCACGGCCGCCGGCTGGCCATTGAAACGAGGAACGGGCACAATGAAGGGCTGGTCCGAGAGAGCGATGCCGCTTGCGATGCCATCCTGCACTTTGAAGTAACCAAGGAGAAAAAATCAATTGTATCTAGGATGCCCAGTAACCTAGGAATGAAAAGGGCTCTCTTTTTGGTATTGGGTAACTTTGTAAAGAAGCTAGGACTACAAAAGGGAATAACGCTACTACTGGGCGTCCTAGATATGCGTTTATTTCCTGATGTTTCCTTAATTCACAGTTCCGAAACAAAAAGGCATTCAACTCCAGAACCAAAAACATCTACTTGTATTTCCTGATGGTTGCTTTTTATGGTTTAGGGTTTAGGATCCAAACAAAAAGCATTCCACTCCAGAGCCCATTTCCTGATGATTCCCTTTTAGGGTTTAGGGTTTAGGGCTTAGGGTCCAAACAAAAAGCATTCCAACTCCAGAACCCAGCATCATCTGCACCACAGATCCTTGGCTGACTTCTGAACCCCTCCAAAAAGTTAAACTCTTAGCCTCCTTATTCTATTTTATATAGAAACCCAAAAAGTCAAAGTCCTAAATCCCCAAACCCTATCCCCTATAGATCCCTTATAGGAACCCTTAAAGGAACCCCTTAAAGGCCCGAAAGAGCCAACCAGAAGAACGCCAAGGATCGCATAGCGTGACCTCACCAGGCCGCTCTCCCGGCATCGGTCGTGCATCCGCAAAAACCTGGGGCTTATAGTATCCTTGAGGGAGGGGGCTCCAAGGGGGGTACATAGCCTAGTGATCCCCAACTCTCCCTAGTACTCCCTGAGGTTCCCCTAAGGATTCCTTGTACCCTCCCCCCTTGAGCCACCCTCCCTTAAGGATCCTATAATGGGGCTCTGTCCCAGAGGCTCCAAAGAGCCTTCATTAAGGAATATATACCTTAAATCGTAGGGGGATCCTTCATATGATTTAAGATGCATTCCTGAATTATGGGGGTTTTGGAGCATTTGGGTGTCACATGGTGTCACCTTTCCAAGGATGCAGAATACATGAATGTAAGATACTCGCCCAGTTGTGCATCTGAACCCCCCAAAACAAAGCCTAATGACCCTATAAACCCGACACTGAACCCTAAAGCCTACACCTACGTAATGCCCCTATAACAAAACCCTTCAAGGAAGGCCTGAAAAACCGAAACCCTAAACCCGAAAACCCACAATACACCTACGTAATGCCCCTATTAAAAAACCCCTCAAGGAAGCCCTGAAAAACCGAAACCCTAAACCCGAAACCCTAAACCCCTAAACCCTACGTAATGCCCCTATAAAAAAAAACCCTCAAAGAGGCCCTGAAAAACCGAAGATCCTCCAGAAGAGCCCAGGAACTTCCGGTCGAAGTCGCTGGCAGGGATCCAATCGGACCAGTTGGCACGAAAAGCCTCAGATCTGCGGCTCGGTGTTTGGGTATTGTTTTTTTTTTGGGGTGGGGGGGGGGGCTCCTTTTTCAAACTGAGTTTGGGGTTTAAGGATTAGGATTTGAAGTTCAAGTGGTGTTTTCGGGTTTAAGGTTTGGGCTTTAAGGATGAAGGTTGAGATGGTGTTTTCGGGTTTAGGGCTTGTGGTGGTTTCGCGCGCGACAAGGTCATGTCGAGTCTGAGGCGTTTTTGCAGGCAGACGCCGGGGGCAGGGGGCAGGGGGCAGGGGGTCGAGGGTAGAGGGCAGAGGGCAGAGGCCCTGATGCATGAGCCAGTTGTGATGGGGGTAGAAACATGGAATGCCCTGTTGCCAGAAGCAGCAGACCAAGAAACCCCTCTGCCCTCATGCCAGTACTTGGAGGTTCATGGGACTTAGTAAATAGGGTTATAAATAAGGCAACCATACTTACAATTACTTATAACCCCAGTTAAGGTAGTTATAACTGTACTTACTAAGCCCCATGAACCTCCAAGTAGCAGATGATTGGCCCCCTTTCGCCACCGACAAATCGGAGCAATGTTTCGTTTTGAGGCCGTGACGAATGCGTCACACAAGGCAACGTAGGAGTTTCCGCAAGTGAGGGACCTGATTTTGGGGTCCTTATAATGAAGATCCTACTATTTCGGGTACTGTATTAGGGTCCCCTCTTTTCGAAAACTTCCACGTGCCGGCACGCCGAAGAGCCATGAGCCAGCCAGGACCCTCCTTTTACCCTCAAATAGGGCTATATGGTCCCAAATAAGGGGCATTTACGGTCTAATAGAGGGTAGATGGAGGGTCTTGGAGTGCTCACAATAACGAAAGATGGGGTTTACAGCTGCAGCGGTTTAGGGTTTTGGGGTCGTGGTTTAGGGCTTTGGGGTCGAGGATAATCTGCATCAGGGCTTTATATGTATCCTCCAATTCAAGATGAGCTTCCTAAAACCTCAAAAATCTAAAACCCTCAGACCCCCCCAACTCCAAGACCCCCAAACCCTAAACTTGGCCCCAAACTGCATAACCCTTTACGGAGACCCTTGAAGGCTCAAGGAGCTCCCCTTTAAAGAACCCTTCAAAGAGCCTTTTGAACCCCCTAAACCCCAAGGTCCGCTTTCAAAAGCCCCTTTCGAAGGCTCCGAAGGGCTTTTAAAGAACCCTTCAAAGAGCCCTTTAACCCCCCAGCCCCAAGGTCCCCTTTCAAAAGCCCCTTTCACTCCGAAGGGCCCCTAAACCCCAAGGTCCCCTTTCAAAAGCCTCTTTCAAAGGCTCCCTTGTTCCCCGCAACCCTAGGGTCGAAGGCTCCGAGGGGCTGGATCTGCAACCATAGGCATCACCAGCAACCGGAGGCTCCGAAAGGCTTTGGGGTCGTACTCCTGGGCTGAAAGTTCCCAGAGACTCCATTATCCCTTAATTAAGGAATACTCCCTAAATTATAGTAGGATCCCTTGCAAGATTTAAGGTATATCCCTTAATTCAGGAATACTGCCTAAATTATAGTAGGATCCCTTACAAGATTTAAGGTCTATTCCTTAATTAAGGGATATTGGAGTCTCTGGGTTTTTAAGGCTTCAAGGGTCCTAGGGGTTCCCAAAATCAAAGGGAAAAAGAGGGACCCTTAATGGGGACCCCCCAGCCTATAATGGGTTTTTTAATGGGTATATAATGGCTATATTAAGGGTTTCTACCTGGGGGTCGTTATTAAGGGTCCCTCCTTTTCCTCTTTGACAAAAGGTTCCTGTGAGGCTCCTCTTAAAGGATCCATACTTAAGGTCTCCTATAAACGGATCTATCGGGTTTAGGGTTGAGGGGCGTGGGGGGTCGGGGTTTAGGGTCTGGGGTCTTGCGGTCTAGGATTTTTGGATTTGGTGGGAAGTAAGGTTTCGGACTTTGGGCTTAGGGGTTAGTTTTAAAGTATTGGGTGCTCCAGAGTTCGGTGCTTCTGGTTTAGGGTATTGGGTTTTTGGGGGACTGAAGCATGCTTTATCGGGCTTCATAGGGCTTCATACAGAGGGCTCCAAAACTGGGCTGAAGCCAGGTGGTGCAATCCCCAATAAGGGTCCTTACACAAGATCCCCACCTTTTAACCTTTTGACGCCCCTGATTCATGGGGGGGTTGGGGTTCAAAAAAGCTCTGCGCTTTCGAGGTTCGAGATTTACGTCCAATTTTTCGCTGGCAGATGAAACAGCTCGTCTTCAAGACCAACCCGAAGTTCGAACAAATACCCAAGTTCCAAGAGAAAACAAGCTCATAACCACAAAAAAGAAAGAAACACAAACGCCTAAACCCTGATTCTGGCTCTCTGTAACTTCCCCTTCCTTCCCCTCTCCCCGTCTTTTTCCTCAACCCCACGCCTCTGCGCAAAAAGCATGTTCCGAGTCCCAAACAGGCAGGGATCGTTCCGGTGCCAGCGCAAGCTCCAGCCGCTGCTGCTACGACTTGTACAAGGCTCAGAAACTGAAGCTTGCGAGCTGTCGGCTACAACACTTACAGGTCCGGAAACACTATAGACTATAGATCGCTCTGGGGGGCCCGACCGAGCATGGCATCGATGCCGCCGTTGAGGAACATGCAGCGTAGAATGTGGGTGTAGGCTAGAGAGATGAAGCTTTGAGGTTTACTGTAGGGTCTTAGGAGCACGTCGTTGCGGGATGAAGGTCCTCAGTCTGCATACCTCAACCAACCCTAAGAGCCGGGAAACAAAGCACAAAAGGATGCCACTTAAAACTAAGTTTTAGGGTTTGAGGGTCCTTAAGCCCTAAACCCTAAACCCTAAACCATTCAAGGACGCCTTCACAGTGCGCTTGCTTCCGTCATTGCCGGGCCGAGGCTGCCGACGCGAAGCGCTTAAAATTAGAATAGGGTTTTGGGGCCCAAAATACTTTACTTATAATACTTAGAAGGGCAGGGGACTTAGTAAGTAGGTTATAAGTAGAGTTACAATAGTTATAAGTACCCTAAATGGAGTTATCCCAATTATAACCCTACTTATAACCTACTTACAAAGTCCCCTGCCCTTCCAAGTAAGGAACCCCCAATACGCCCAATATAGTATAGTTACTCGGACAAACGCCACTAAACCAAACCCCCATAATACCCCCTATACTATAGCAGGAGGAGTTCGAAGAGCTTCACCAGGATGTTGCCCTCAGCATCCACGGAGCTCTCACTCCTCGGCACACTTGGCCCTACTTGGAGGGTTCCTGTAAGGGTTCCTTTAAGGGATCTATAAGGGATCCGTAAGGTCTACTTGGAGGTTCATGGGACTCAGCAACTAGGGTTGGGCGTTCCTTTTCAAGGTACTATAAGGTTCTATGATAAATTTAATTTAAGTAGACCCTGAACCCTTAAAGGTAACGCTATTACAATAATAGCGTTACCTTTAAGGGTTTAGGGTTCAGGTCTACTTAAAGGATCATGGGACTTAGTAACTAGGGCGATAATGGGTTATGAAACAGGGAACAAGCAACAATAAATATGTTCAAGTCCATGAACCTCCAAGTAAGCCTCAAACCCGAAACCTTTAACCCCGACCCTAAACCCCGTACAACCCTTATGCAGGACCCTTACAGGAACCACTTACACAGTCCTCTTACGGGAGCTTTTAAACCCCAAGCCCCAACCCCGACCCTGTCCCCCTGTAACCCTTGAAACCTGTAACCCTTCAAGGAGCCCTTTAAGGAACCCTTTAAGGAACCCTTTCAGGAGCCCTCTAAACTGAAAACCCTAAACCCTAAACCCTTGAAAGCGACCCAAACCCCTAAAACCCTAAACCCTAAACCCCTAAACCCCTAAACCCCTAAACCCTAAACCCCTAAACCCCTAAACCCCTAAACCCCTAAACCCTTGAGAAAGTGAAAGGCTCCTCAGCACCCTAAAAGGGACCCTAATTGGGGTTATGGTACTTAGAAGTCCTTAAAATAACCATTTACTAAGTCCGCTAAACCCTAAACCCTAAACCCTTATAGAATCCCTATAGATCCCTTTAAAGGACCCCTTTAAGGAACCCCTTATGGTTACTAAGTCCCCCGACCCTCCAAGTGAAAGGCTCCGCAGCACCACGATGGCCTCCTCGGCCTCGGCCTGGTCGCCCAAGAGCAGGACCATGGCGTCCGCGGGCCGAGGAGGGCCCTGTCAGGTTCATGTGGGTTTAAAGTTTAGGAATTTTTTTTGAGTTTAGGGGTTTAAGGGTTTATGTAGGGGTTTAGGGGTTTAGGGCTTCAGGGGTTTAGGGTTTAGGGTGTAGGGTTTAGGGGGGTTTAGGGTTTAGGGTCAATGTTGGTGCCTCAATAATTATACCCCACAACCCTTCTTTGATTCTTAAGGCCCCTACATGAGCATTTCCGAATAGGGGAACCTAATATCGGACCCTAAATCGTGGGATCCTTGTCATAAAGACCCCAAAATTAAGCTACCCCCTAATTTTCGGAAACTCCCATATTGCGGGGGCTTAAGACCGAGGGAGGGGCTTTAGACCTGAAGGAAAGCTTCTGAGCTTTACGGCTCTCCCTGAGACTCCAATACCCCTTAATTAAGGAATATTCCTTAAATTATAGTAGGATCCCTAGTATGATTTAAGGAATATTCCGTAATTAAGGGGTATTGGAGTCTCTGGGCTCTTTCTTCAGCATTTTAGAGGCTCTGGTCTTGAGGTCATTAGAAAAAGGATTTAGGGTTTAGGCTGTGGTCAAAGAAGGAATCAGAACAGGGCTTCGGGTTTAGGGTGTTGGGGGAAAAGGGTTTTAACGCCCTAAGGGCTTCATTGGGATTCATAGGTTTCACAGGGCTTCTGCCTCCTATGGTTTAGGCTTCCGGGCTTGAGGGTTTAGACTGGGCTCTTGCTGAGGAATTTCAATAAATATATCAGTTACCATAGTAGGGAACAGTAGTAAATAAGGCGGTTTGCTTTCTATGATAACTTAAAACAAGTTGCCTAACAAGAACCCAGTAGAGCATACTCCCAAACCCCACAACAGAACCCTTATAGATCCCTTCAACGAACGTTCCCCTAAACCCTCAGTTCCTCAAAAAAATTCCAGAGACTCCAATATCCCGTAATCAAAGAACAGACCTTAAATCATATACGGGATCCCTGTTGATAACTTAAGGTATGTTCCTTAAATGAGGGATATTGGACTCTCCTGAACCCGAAACACTATAGATCCTTCAAGGAACCCTTATAGGATCCCTTTAAAGGGATCCTGCGGTTGATGATATAAATCCTGCATTACCCATACTAAGGAATATACCATAAATTCCCATAGCCTAGGGTCCTTAAGGTACTTCAGGATTTCTATCATCAACCGTAGGAGTCTCTGCAAACCCTCCCAACCCTAAACCCAATAGATCCTTTACAGGAACCCTTAAAGGAACCCTTATAGGATCCCTTTAAAGGGCTCTCTGCAAACCCCTCCGTAGAGGCCTGGTGAAAGGCAATGGGCGTGAAGTCGGCGTCGAAGCGCTGGCCGCCCATCCTTAGCTCTTCTTAGGGAACTTCTATGGGTTCGGGGTTCCTTAAAAAGTTCCTTGAAGGGTTCCTTAAAGGGATCCTTTCATGGGGTTCTTTAAAGGGATCCTTTAAGGGGATCCTTAAAGGGTTCCTTAAAGGGTTCCTTAAAGGGTTCCTTAAAGGGATCTATAAGGGTTCTATAATAGGGGTTTTTTCAGGAACTTAGGTGGCTCTGTTTAGGGAACTTGGGCCTAGGGTTACCAAACCTCTTGGAAGGCCCTTGTTGAAGAACTTTGGATTAGGGGAACTTAGGGGGCTCTTCTTAGGGAACTTGGCTTAAGCCGCCATAAGGGAACCCTCTAAGAGTAATTTAAGGTTCTATAATTGGGTACCATAGGGTTCCATAATTAACCTTGGGATCCCTAAATACCTACTGTATACCCTATATCAAAAAGGCCTAAGGGGTCCATATCAGGGGCCCATACCTCTAACCTTAGACTCTTGGATCGACCTGCCCAGAGACTCCCTAAGCCTCTTAATCAAGGAATAGACCCTTAAAGGTTCTTTCCTGGCCTCCTTAAAAAATCTATAAGGGCACCATGGGCCCATAACCTAATATAGTACCCTAAATAGTAGGATCCTTATTATAAGGACCCCAAAATAAGGCACCCCCTATAATAGGAAACTCCTATACTTATAACCTTAGATTAAGGGTAACAAGAACCCAGCATCTCTGGGTCCTAGACCAAGGAACCCTTACAGATCCCTTTAAGGAGCCCTTTAAGGAACCCTTATAGATCCATTATAAGATTAACAAAATTAAGGAATAGACCCTTAAGGGTTCTTCAAGGATCTTTAAAGGAACCCCATAAAACCCCTACAGT